AAAAAAAAAACTGGTTCTCAAAGACTACAGTGCCTGAACTTCAAATTATTGGCCATTTTCATCTCTTGATCGTGTTTGGGAGAAAAGCTTAAGATTCAAATATACAAACAGTTAGATTAAGCACATACGAGGGAGAGATTGGAGTGAGATCTGTGTTGTTTCCTCTTTCCTCGCTCGAGAAATTAGGTATGTCCTGATGAACTTATCTGCTTTTCCGTAGTTAATTTGTGTGTTTTTAGGTTTCATACTGTCTGGTTCGCTTGCAAACGTATTTTCATTTCATCTTGATGATGTTTTGGTTTTCATTTCTGTGTGATGTGTGTAGATCTGAAGGAACTGAAGCGCAGTGGTTCAGTTGCGATTGCTCAGAGGTTTAAATATGTGTTTGATGTTTGGATTGGATCGTGTTTAGTGGAGTAGAGGTTTGATCTGCCGAGGTTTTGGTGGATTTGAAGGAGATCTAAAGTTTCTGGTAGTTTAGTATTGGTAGAGGTTTGAAGGCTTTTAAGCTTTGTTAGATCGGATTTTCTTTCTTAGTCGTGGTTAGTTGTAGTTAAGATCAAGTGAGCTGAATAAAAGTGCAAACAGGATTGAGTTTAGTTTTCCCTGTAAATTGCTTAGGATGGAGACTCTAGTCATTGCTCATCATAGGAATTACAATCAGTGTTACAGTAGAAATCATGGTGGTTATAGTTTGACAAAATTCGGTTCATTTGGCTCACCTCCTCCGGGTAGTATCCGGGGCATTAACTGTCGAACTTTCCATTCAGATGAAGGTTTGCTTCCAAACCCTTTCGAAGACCACCCCACAAAAATACCTGTTTCTGAAGAGGCATTTTCCGCCTCGTTCTCGCCAAAAACACAATCTTTAGACAGAAGCCAAAAGCCCACGAAAGGCACTGCAAAAAGTAGAACGATTGACATTCCGATTGAGTTCAAGATCGAGAGCAGTGAGGGTGGCTTTGATATTTCCGAGCGTTGGGCTGGGCCGGCCTACTCAAACTCGCCTCCCCCGAGTTCTTTGCCCATACCCAAATTTTCACTGAGGCCCAAAAGAAGTATATCACTCGACCTTCCAAATGCGGCCTCAGAGATTAGTTTCCACCCCATTGCTAAGTCGGCGCCGGTTTCCCCAACTAGGGAACGTAGCCCCTCGCCAAGTGGTCCATTTGAATTTCCCGATTCCGGGACTTGGACAAGCTTTTCCCTCAGTGATATCTTTGACCTTTCAGATTCTGGTAATGTGACGAGTCATTCGCCGAGTGATTCAGTTGACATATCTGTTACTGCTACTTTGACTCTCCGCCGCATTCTTAACCTTGACGATATTGATAATGAAGGAGTGTGTGGTGTGGCTGGTGAAGGAAATTAACGTGCTTTTGTTGGTTTAGTTGTATATACAATAAAGAGGATCAGACAGTGGGAACTTTTCATCAAGAGTTGAGTTTATCATTCTCTAGTTATGTAGCAATGGTGTGATGCAAGAGTTGTGATGATATCTGTTGGCCGGCAGTCTTCTTATTCTGGAATATTTGGGGGATTAGGAAATGTTTATGGTTGCTCAGTAATGGATTTTGCCAAAAGTTATGAAATGAAAGGCAGAGGTTGATCTGTGGATCCTGTAGTTGATATCGACTGGAGCATGGAATTAACTGCGATTAGTTAGCTCATAGCTCATGGAAAGTAGTTGCTGTTGAAAGTTTCGGTTCTGTTTGTCAAATATACTTCCCCCAGGGCTTTATTTTCTCGTGGTTCTTCTTTTATACTTGTACATGCTTAGATAGCTAACTTAGACTTTTAGCCTTTCACTTTCGTTCTTCCCTCGTTCAGTAACATAGCCCTGGTATTCAGATTAAGTCTTTGTTGACTGTAAATGCTGTACCAACCTATGTGCATGTTCTTCAAGTTTGTCATTTGCTATTGTCCTTTTACATCCTTATTTCGTGCTCTTTTTTTCTTTTTTTTTTCTTTCTTTTCTTCTCTGGGAAATAGATTCTGACTTCTATATCTTTGGTTTTCCCTTCGCCAAATTTTCTGGTTTTTGATAAAGAAAATGGGCCGGGAATTGGGATATATATGAGCTTCTTTTTTTTTTTTTTCTTTTTCACCTCCTCTTAATGCTTAGGTTTGGTTTGCTCGTAGTTTCATCTAATATGCTTTGGTAATCTGTTGTGGGTTAGATAATCCTTCTGCTTGTTGTTCTTATCCGTGATCCATTCTGAGCTATCCCCTGTCAGCTTGCTTTCTCTTTTCCAGTTCCCTCTTTTTTTCCCTTGTTATTGAGTTTCATTTTATATTGGAGATTGTTGATCGTGCGCCAACCTGTCACAGGTAATCATTCTACTTAAAGATTGTGCTCGGCATTTATTTTCTGTATTACTCCATCAGGCAGTAATATGTGTACTTTTTCTTGCTTTTACAGTGCCTGTACCGGAAGCCGGTGGGAGAGTTATCTTCGAGAGGCTGTTTCAGTACATTGTTATCTTTTTATCTTTGTGGTTTTTTTGGTTCATAAGTTTCTGATGTGTGTTTGTTTGCTGCCATGAAACTCTATGCATCCAGAGTCTAGTGTTTTTATAAGTGGGGAAATTATCTACTAGTTGTGGTGTTGAGTTTGTATGGTATCTTTTGAACATATGTAATAATCGAACCCTTTTGGGGTAGTCTCTAGTTTCTGCTTCATGTTTGCACTCAACATTTCTCTTACATTATTTTTTTTAGTAGTTGCTTCTTATAGATTTTTCGAGCATCGATATCATATAGTTTGTGTTCTCCAGTTTAAGAAATGAAAGAAGTATCAAGTATGTGAAGTAAACTGGTTGTGTTTTATGAAGCAAAACATTCATTTGTGGAGTTTTGTTCAGGTGTGATAACCAACAGTTGCCTTTATTGTGGGGTTTGTATAATAATGGCAACTACTACTTTAGTGTTATTTTATTTCTGAATAAAGATGTGTTTGAAGTTTGAACTGTGAAGGTTCATAATAACCATGTAAAACAAATAGTTATGATAAGAACAGTGAGATAATCATGGACTAATTCTTCATATGTCGTAAAGCATTCGACTTTATGTTAATTTCATACATTATGATGTGATGTGGCATTTATATCTTATTAATTATTGAAAAGGACTTGTCTTTTGGTTTATTTGCTTGATTAGGGTAGGTTGGCACTTTCTCATATCTATATATAGAGATAACATTTTTAATTAAGTCTTCGAAATTTCATATATGGAAATGAGAATACTTGTACGGCTCATTTTGATCACAATGGGTAGCTTGGGTGACTTATTATTATTATTATTATTATGAAGTTTCCTCTCATTCTTTCACCTAATTTTGGTATTAGCTTAAGCAATCTTTAACAAAGGGGAGAATTCATTCGTGATTTATAACCGTTAGATCAACTATCCACGACAGTTACATATTGATCTAAAGGTTACAAATCCCGACGGAATAGTTCTGTAACGAGACTGCAGCATTTCCCTCAACAAAGATGCATATTTCTACTATACAATATAATACTTCTGCTGATATTATTAGAGTAATATTTCAGCTTTAAGTATGCATTTGTGTTGAAAATAAAAAAAATATGACTTTAGACCTATATAACAACATTGCATTAACATTTCATGCCAAATACAAGGCCAATATATAACAGCAGCTGGACAAAACTTTGGTACATCCATCCATATTTATAATAATTTCTGATTCCCATTTATTTATCCATGTATATGCAAAGGAAAAATCAGGCCTTCAACAGAAACAGAAAATACATCCCAATAAAACTGAAAAANAAAAAAAAAAAAAAAATGAAAACAGAATGAAATATACAAACATTGATGCAGAAAAATAATAAAAATAAAAATAAAAATAAAAAAGACTCCATTGATCATCATCATATTCAAGACAGTTGAGAGCTTTTAATTTTTTCATGTGAAATTCTTTAGATAGACATCATTATCCATCCAAGTCTGGATTTTTCAGTCCTTCAAAAAACATCTCTTGGCACCGACATTCATGGCTGCAAAAAGCTTTCTCTCCCCTGCAAAAATCACAAATAAATTTGATAAATTTTAAATAATAAGAATAATAATAATTATATAAAAAAAATAAAATAGAAATATGCTGCTAACTTGTAAATGTAAATGTCTTTGCCCTGTCCTAAACTATCCTTGCAAGTGTGACAAAAGCTCAAGAAATCTTGTGATGGAGATGAAGATGAAGATGAATAGTCAGTCTCAAACACACCACAGTCCATTTTCTTACACTCAGGATAATTATTCTCTGAATGATCCCCCAAACAGCTCTCCACAACACAATCATCGAAAATATGGGTAGTCTTAGGATTAGGACCATGAGAGATAACACAAGTATAGTCCTCAGAGAGCTCCATTTCTTTCAAGGACAGCTGCCTAGCAAAATCTTTAACCGGGGTGCTCGAACAAGGGCTCGAAATCTGAGGATTCCGAGTCTTGATTCCGAATTCGACCGAAGATGTGGTGGGGTTTGTATCAGGAATTTGGACCTTAAGCTTTGATCCAAACAAAGCTGCCCTGTTAACTGGCTTGGATATTTTTCCTGATTTACCCTCGTCGACATTTTCCTGATCGATCGAGTCGATCAAGGCGAGGCCGATCGCCTTATTAGTCCCTCGTTGGGCAGTTGGGTTTGGGGATTTGGACAGCATTTTGTTGTCATGGCCAAATGGGTTGACAAAACTGAGGTTTTTCTTGGAATCAAGAATTGAGGTTGGGCTCATGACAGCATAATTATAATTAGTAGTATCTTTGTCTGAAAATTGGGTTTTCTTGGTGAGTAAGCCACTGAAAAACCTTGGGGAATTCAAGAAAGATGAAATGGGTGAAGTAGGAGGGTTCATTGTGGGAGATGATGGGAGTGAGGTTTGATCAGCCATAAGGGCTTGTTTGGTTGTCACAGCTCTAGATCTGTTTCTCAACATTAGTGATTCTTGAATTTTTTATTTTTTTTCAGAAGAAAAACAAAAAAAAAAAAAA